AGCTGCTGTTTGGTCTTGTTTATCTGAAAGGAAAGTAGTGTCACCATAATCAGGACACGGCATGGCAAACGGCTAGAGTGTTTCGAGAAAATGTTGAACTGATAAGTTGTATAATTATGGTGCTGACCACTTAATTTGATTTAAGGTCTGAACGGGAAGTTTGGAGATGATTTCAATGCTGCTAATCTTTCAAACGTCATTGACTCAATGACACAAGAGTTTTTTAACCCTGCTTATCGCAACATAAGTTTGACCAAGTGATCTCTCTCATGGACCAATGTCTATCCAAGCTTTCGGTAGAGTTAGTCCTTGACTCGTGGCAGTTGTTGTCTCTCATAGAAGCTATTTTGTGACTGTACTGAAACTGTTACAGGGCATATTAGTACATAAGAAGGTTGTGCATCTATGAATGCTGGACCTCTATAGTTGTCAAAGTCAACTATAACAGCAACAGGTAATTCTGGTGGGTGACGATTATTGTCATAGACCCTATGACGAACCATTCCAGTAGCTCCAGTACAGAGGCCAACCTGTGACCATAAATTCATAGTCAATATCACTTTTGCTGTGTTTGCTAAAAATACAACTGGGTCTAATCCTGACATCTCATTAGGTCTAAAATTTTTAGCAAAAGTAGATGAACGGCAAGCATTAATGCGGGCAATAGGTTGCTTAAGTTTAGTGAGCTGGTCAAAGTTATAGTTAGCAACTTGTTCATTGTTGTATAATAAGATGATAATGATGACTGATGATGATTTATTAAACTCAGCTCAGTTTTACATGACATAAAGGTTAAATTTACATAGGCATCAAACACAGTACAACAAAGGAATACAAGAAAAATGGTAACAACAAAATGGAGAGCGAGTTGGGATCATCCAAATAGCAAAGGCTAATATTTTGGATGACCCCTGCATTAAAATACAATTACAGATAGAATACAGAATACTTATACATATTTTTTTTATAAAAAAAAGTATTTCTTCATGCACTAAGGCAGATAATTAATTAGAATAACAATTGAGGATAGAGTTCTTAAGGGTTTTACAAAATATTCTAAGAGAATTTGAATTAGTTATACTTGTAGGCAAGGAGTTCCAGAGGCGTGGACCAGTGAATTTTAGGGAGCGTAAGCCGTACTGGGTAGTATTAACTGAGGTTACATAAAGATTTCTATTACATGATTGCCTTGTTGAATAGGAATGAACAGAAGAAGTAAATTTGAAATATTCACTGAAACAGGGGGGTAACAGTCTGTGTGGCCACTGATAAACAAAAGAGAGTATCTGTGATTCAATGACATCATCAAGGTTCGCAAATACGCCAAAGTTGTTCAGACTACTCCACTGATGTTACGGAGGGAGTCACTTCGACTCCAGAAATTTTCGGTAACAACAGGGAGCCACTTTGACTCCAGAAATTTTCAGTAACAAACACACTTTTGTCCTTATCTTTTTCGCAACAAATACAATTTACGTTAATTGTAAACGTTGTAAACCTTAATTAAGAGGCAGTCTCCCTAAAAGCGTTCCACTCGATTTCGGACTCGGAAAAACTTTTGCCTTATATTTTTATCATCAACACTACTATCCATCCTAATAACGAAATTGCAGTTAGAATGAGGAAATTGTTTATTTTACTGCCATTCCCAGCATTTCCTTGCTGGACGACCGTTAGCGGCTAAAATATGCAAATTTTAGATGCCGTTTTACAGGTTTTCCAACGATCGTTTAAAAGTACTTCGGGTCATCAAATCCTAGACTGTTTGCACTCATTTGGAAGCATATTACTTCTTCTTACTGTTCCAATACCATTAGGCAATATCTTTCTGTAATCAGCAAAAACTGGTCGTCTTTATTTCACTAACCCAATTAAGAAAGCAAAATGCACGAATAAATGCCTCAAAAACATCACAAACTTCTGAAAAGTGGCACCTAAACTAGACTTAAAAACATGTTTTAGTTACAGATTAAGAGCTATTTTGTCAAGTTATGAAATAAAACTTGTGGCACAACGCGATTCAGAATTTGCATAAATTTAATTTGCATATTTATGCTGAATTCACATTGCGTGACACCGGCCGCTGGGATAGTAAAAAAATTCTTCATGATCGTACAAATGACAATTTTTCTGTTTTTTTTTTTTTACTTCATCAAAAGTATCGGAAACAGGTTAAGCTTATAGAAGATTAAGTTTAATTTTCCACTGACTTTCGTATTAATAGTCTCGGCCGGCCGTCCTTTGTTCGACTGCCAGTAGTTGGCCTTCTTGGTAGGTCGGGAAAAAATACCCCATCGCCCTTTTTACTCGCATCTCTCAGAGGGTCGCCCCCACAGTCTGAACGCCTGGAAGAGGCTAATCGACATACTTCAATCGCGTTCCAAACGAACATTTTTATTTTACAGATAACATTAACGAGATCCATGTTTCTCCTGCCTAGTGACAGGTATTTACATTTTGCAGCGAGAAGGTCCTTCACACATTCACCTTTACACCATAT